CCCCCTGAGGCACTGACAGAGCAGCCACTGCCACCAGCACAGCCACAGCCTGGAATGCCAGCCCTGGGAACAGCTGGATGAGCCAGGGGCAGGGAAGAACAGGACTCACCCCCAGGTCATCCTGCAAATGGCAGAGCTCCTCACGCAGATTCTTGAAGGTGGAAAGCACAAGTCTCAGGGATTTGTCTGATGTCTCTCTCATCTGGGAGGAGAGAAATTAAAAGGATAATTGGGATTAATTAGGCAGCTTTGTTTACAATATGCCTGACAAGAAGTAGAACAGAAACTGCTTCACAGCTGACAGTAACTTCTAAAACCATTGCACGTCCTTTGAAGTGCCCACAGTTTCTACAGGAAATATTTTCATTGCACTTTGTTCTGCAAATGCCAGTGTTCAGTTTCTGCCTTGTAACACAGGACAACACTGTTAAAAGTGGAAGGAACAACAGGGTAAGGAACTGCCTTTGTACACCAATAAAGGGGAGAATAAATGTGTTAATATTGCACAATTATTTGAGCTTTCAAGGCTTTGTGCTTATACTGATTTTTAAAAATTACTGCCCTGCCAGAAAAGGCACAGAGGAATGAATCATGTTTGAGATCTGGCAAAGCTTTGGGCTTAAGGGTGAGGGAATTTAATTAACATTTTAAAAATTTAAATTAAAAAAGCTCATACAGCCAACTCCTCCCTTTAAAAGGAAAAAGATCCCAAAGATGAAAGGAGTCACCTGGATGAAAGAGAAAACCAGAAGTGACCACAGCCCAACACTGGTCTCCTTTGGAATGTTAATTTTAAAGCTTCTAATAGCTGTATATTGATTCAGGTGAAAACATAAATTGTTGCATTTCATTATAAACTTATAATATTTAAAAGAAGAAAAAGACTTGGACACACAAAATAACAGCTCAAGTTGTGACTCTCGTGGAAGGGCTGAATATTTTGTGCAAAAGCTGTGGTTTTTTTCTGTCCAGACAAAAGTGAAACCCTCCTGTGTGCTCCCTTACCTTGGAAGAATGAGCTCTCATGCACTCTATCCATATGGGGATTTATTCCCACTGTTTTTGTTTTATCCCCACTGGTGCCATGGTGTGACTGAGACTTCATTCCTAATGTAACTCACCTTTTTGTTTGTTTTGAAATTAAATTTGGAATTTCACTTTTGCCTTATGGTTGTGTTGATTTTATTGTGTAATACATTATAGAGTAGTTTAAAAGAAGGAAATTAGTCAAATGGTGAAATTTAGAATATAAAAACATAAGTAAAACCCCCCTCAGAACTTTCTTAGTGCTAGAGGTTGCTGAATCCCAGAGGTGCCATGTGCATCCCCAGTGGGATTCTCTGTGTCCTTAGAGAAGACTCTGGGCATTCCCAGC